GTACCAGGCAATGCAGCTGAAAAAAGAAGTCAACCAACACTGAAATGAAAAATTCTGCAAGCCTGACTTTTTCAAAATAGCCGCCTTTTCGCACAAGCCCACTTTGTCCCCAGCATATAAAAGCAAGCCAAGCAGAGCCAGTCCTCCCCCAACCCCCATGAGCCAGTTCAGAAGACCTTCCTTTCCTCTGTGCTATCTCCCTTGTGCTTGGGCATAAGCTTAAGAAAATCTGATCGGGAATTTCTCTGGGATTTCCTCTCAATTTCTATCTTGGGGAACTCAAGAACCCCAATGCCAGTAACAGTATGATTCCACTTATGGGAGGCCCCTAAAATAGACAAATTCAGAGAGGAAAAAATAGACTAGAGGTTACTAGGGGCTCACAAAAAAGAGAATGAGTAATTGTTTGACAGGTACAAAATTTCTGTTTGGGATGAAATTGTTGTGGAAATCCATGATGGTTATGCAACACTGAATGTGCTCAGTACCAATGAATTAAAACTGTTAAAACTATTAAATTTTAAGTTATGTATATTTTACCACAATAAAAAAATAATAATAAAAAGTACAAAAGAAAACTCCTGCCAACCTAGAAGACTACATTCAACAAAAAATATATTTTAAATTAAAGGCAAAAATAAAGATTTTTCAGATAATGAAAACTGTGGGTAGAACCTAGGGCATTCAGATCCAAAAGGGTCTGGTTCAGGTACCTCTGTAGGACCTTGGCAGCTTCCATGGTGTCCTGCCCCACTCATTTAGGAGGTTTCTGTACATTCTGGAAGAGGGCACAGCCACCACACTTGTTTGGCATCAAGAGACAATAGATGCCCTCCCAATTCTCCTCCACCAACTGGCAGAAGTGGCCCAGGCTCTTCAGAGCCACATCCTCGTGGTCAAAACAGAAGCCCAGAGAGAGGTAGGTGTAGAAGGCCTGCAGATGCATGTAGACCAGGCAGTTGATGGTGGCCTCCACGTCAGTGGAATAATTCTGACGAATTTGGAAGCATATGGGTGCTCAGCAATAAGGAGCTAAGCTCAAAAATGGTGTTGGCTGATTTTGGAGGCCAAGGATGGCTGACATGATTCTGAAAACAATGGAAGAGCATAATTTCTACTCCTAACTGCACCATAGGTCAATACTATTCTTTTTTGCAAAAAATAGATAAATATATCACTTAACTTTCAAATGCCTTATTTATTCAGGGAACATTTCTTGTTAGTTGCTTATGTAAGTAATAAGAAATCTATTAGCAATATATGTGTGTGTGTATATACATATATATTTCTTCTTATAAGCACAAAACACTAATGTATAGTCAAAATATTTTGTCGTCTGCAAAATATCTAGTAATAACTGTTTTATAACACCTTTTTATATAAATGTTCTGAATTAATAAGAAGTACAAAATAATAAAAACTGGCTGAGCACACGAGCAAGTTCATCTCCACTCTACTAAAACCTTACCAAAAAGAAATTTAAAGAGGCAAAAGACTGACATACACTGGGATGATAATAATGAGGAGGGTAATACCAACCTAATGCTAGAATGCAGAAAGCAAATGAATGAATACACAGTAACTGAGTAGAGGAAGACAAACCCCAATGACTAGTAGCCAAGACATTACTAATCAAACTAATTTCTTCCAAAGTAAGTAATTTCTGACCAAAAACCATCAGAAGAGCTCCAAACAGAAAGCACCTGTTATCTCTGAAAGCCAGGTTGAAACTGAAAACAGGGAAACTGGCAGAAGCTATCAATAAGGAACAGGTAGATGCCTAATCCCCTCCTCCTGCTTGCAGGAAACAAGAGGTTAACGCTGGGAAGGCTGAACCAGAGGGCCCCAAATAAGTGGACATCAAGTACAGCCTGGGGGCAGGTATGAGGGTTCTGCTTAAAACTGGGATTTATATAAAAAGTCTGGAAAAAAATAAAAAGAGGTAAGACCTTTAGCCCCTTCCCTTGATCTAAACCAGAATACTGGCTATTGCCCTGCCAGAGCTGGGAAGATTTCTCTCTAACTAGTACAAAAGAAAAACATATAGACATTTGGTTTTGTTGGCGGAACAACTGGGAATTCCCTCAACAAAAAAAGCATGATCACACCATCCCCCTTGAGGTCACCCAGACCTGTCCTCACAAACAAAGCTTCCAAATGGCTTTTAAGTACCACACTCATGAGTATGAAAACAGCAGAGGGTCACTGTATGGTTGAGGATTGGCTAACATGTATTGGGGTCTGAAACAAAAAATAAGACAGCAAAAAGAGAAACAGCAGGTAAGAACAAAATTTAAAGAATTATATCCTAAGAGATAAGCCAAAATACACATTAAGTTCGTGAACCTAGAACAGGACACTACTTTTAAAAGTATTCATCACAGATGAATCTCTAGAAATTAAAACTATGAAAACCAGTCCTAACCAGTGTGCTAAATGGTTAGAGCACTACCCCACACACCCAAATGCTCATGGGTTCAACTCCCAGTCAAGGGCACATACCTGAATTGCAGGTTCGATCCCTGGTCTTGTCAAGGCACATGAGGAAGGCAACCAATCAATGTGTCTCTTTCATATCTCTGTTTCTCTCTCTCCCTCTCTTCCTTTCTCCCTCTCTCCCTCCTTCCCTTCTTTCCACTCTTTCTAAAAGTCAATGGAAAAAATATCCTCAGGTGAGGATTAACAACAAAAACTATGAAAACCAAAATTATAAATTCATCACAATTTAAAAACTTAGGAGATAAACTTAAAGAAACTTCCAAGACAGGACAAAAAACAGAAATTTTTTTAAAAAATTAATCAATTTTTGAAAAAGAAACAAGGGATTGGAGCAAAATCCACCATTTAATTTATAGAAATTAGAAAAAGAAAATTGAAGGATAGGGGAAGAGATTAGTATACTATTTTTTTAATTTCCCCAAAACTGAAGCATACAAATCTCCACACTGAAAGTACAAAATGAGTACCCAGAATGCTGAATAAAAAAGACCCATCCCAAGATGCTTCACTGTGTTAATAAGAACGTGGAATTAAGAGCTTACTTCCAAAGAGAAAGAATACACCACAAAAAACTGGGAATCAAAATGCCAAAGGACTGAACAGCAAGACTGAAAATTTTAAAATAAAAATAATTTTTTCAAAAGCCTAAGAGAAAATTATTTCTAGTCTTGCATATACTAAATGCAGAAGCAAAATAATTTTAAAAATAAATAGATAGATAGACAGACAGACAGACAGACAGATAGATAGACTGATTGATTGATTCAGGAAACAGATAATGTGATTTTGGAGAGAGGAAAAGGAAATCCCAAAGGATGATGATGTGAAGACCAGCAATGACAAATACACAGCAGGCCCAGTAAGCATCCACTCTAGACCTTAAGGTGCCAGGTGAAGTGTCTCCAAGAAAAACAAAATAGCCCTGGCCGGTGTGGCTCAGTTAGTTGGAGCATTGCACCCTTCTCTATAAACCTTAGTATCTCTACAGAGGCAGAGCTGCCTCAAACAGATTGTCAAACTGCAGCGGGAAGGCCGGGGAGGGTTGGGGGGCAGGGGGGAGGGGGATAAGAGATCAACCAAAGGACTTGTATGCATGCATATAAGCATAACCAATAGACATAAGACACTGGGGGATAGGGGAGGCTAGGGGACTGTCTAGGGCGGGGGGAAAAAATGGACACATATGTAATACCCTTTGTAATACTTTAAGCAATAAAAAATAAAAATAAAAAATAAAAATAAAAGAAAATAAGGAAAAAAAAAAGAAAAAAAAACACCTTAGTATCTCTAATGACAAGTTCCTAGAATCAGAATATGTTTAAGGCTCTTGATCGATACTATTTAGCTATCCTCCAAAATTTCTGCCAATTCACATTTGTAGCTATAATATATGATGTTCAGTTCACCACACATCTACCAGTAATAATGTAATATTTTTTAACTCTCACAAATTAAGAGAACAAATTTAACATGTCCTAATTTTGATATAAATTTCCCTATTAGTTAAATTACCTACTTATGACTTTTGAGCATTTTTCTACTGGGGTATTACATGTTTTTGTGTGGTTCTTAATTTAGGTAAACCTTTTTTTTTAATATATTTTATTGATTTTTTTATAGAGAGGAAGGGAGAGGGATAGAGAGTTAAAAACATCGACGAGAGAGAAACATCAATCAGATGACCTCTGCACACCCCCTACTGGGATATGCCCACAACCAAGGTACATGCCCTTGACCGGAATCGAACCTGGGACCCTTCAGTCCACAGGCCGACGCTCTAGCCACTGAGCCAAACCGGTTAGGGCTAGGTAAACCTTTTCATAGATTAAGAATATATATCCTTTTGTCATATTTATGGTATTTTTTTCAGTCTTAATTCCCACAGTCACTTTTGTTTTTCCTTCTCTTACACTTGGTACGTAGAAAGGCCTTCCTCAACTCAGGGACAGCTAAATGATGATCTGTTTTCTTCTCACTCTCTGAGGGGGTGGTATTATGGTTTTACTGTTAGCAATTATTTTAAGTAACCTAAAAGAAATCCTTTTAGCAATACTTCTATAAAAACATGAGAAAGCAATGCAGGGTCCAGGCCAGTATGGCTCAGTTGGTTGGGCATTGTCCCATGCATCAAAAGTTTTTTGGTTCGATTCCGGTCAGGGTACATGCCCAGGTCACAGGCTAGATCCTGGATAGGGGGTGTGCAGGAGGCAGCCGATCAATATTCTGCTCTCACATCAATGTTTCTCTTTCTCTCTCCTTCTCCCTTCCTCTCTCTCTAAAAATAAATAAAAGGTTTTTGTTTGTTTTTAAAAAGATGCAATGCAGGGACCTCAGGAATATAAACATAGCTTAAAAGCAAATAATTTTCTATGTGTCTTTTAACTAAAATTTTTCAACATACAAGCTTTCTTCCTTAAATATCAGTACTATCTGGGTCAAAAGACATAACACTCTCAGGTATATATGCTAATATAGCTTAATTTTGAAAAGTTTTTACTCACTTGTGGTCATGATGTTAGGAGGGCAAGAAGGTATTCCATGATCTACTGCCCATCTGTAGGCTCCTTCTCCAACTAAAAAGCTAACAACAGAAAAATTATTCTTTTAAAAATTCCCGAGTATCATCTTCTCTACATATTCAATTAAGTAATATAGTAAGGCAACTGAAAAGTTTTGCATATAGATATAATTCTAGACTTCTTTAAAATAAAAATATGGCTATATGCCAAAAAAAGACTTTAAAATTTTTCCCAATTTAGAGAAATTTTACAATTAGAAATGTTATCATTTCATTTGTAATAACTAGTAAGTAAAACCCAACATAAGTAGTTGATTTCCCAATGGAAAATATTAAGATTTACCAGTATCTTGGATCAACATGGTTCTCAGTTGACATCACAAGATCTATTTAATCTCATTAAGAGTCAAAGTTTAAGTGAATGTCTTCAGATATGGTATTCTTACCTAATACTACACCTGGCATAACTCAAAATGAGTGGATACATCTAGAAATGCCCTAAAACAATGAGATGTGCTTACATTTCTAAGCCTTGATGCAACAAAAATATATACCGGACCCTCAGGATCATTTTCACTGTGGGAAGTAAAGTACTATGATGTCCCCGAAGTAATTTTTAAGCCTCAAACTGCACATTTGAACATAAGAAAGTAAATAAAGGAATACTGTTAGCCAGCTCTAAAAGACTTATTTTCAAAGGTTTCAAATAGCATGCAGGATAATTAACCACCCCATTTTCTAACACATAATAGCAAGCAGTTACCATTATAATCAGTCACTTCATCTCCTTCCATAGCCAACTCCTTAAAGATCTCAGCCAGCTAGTAATGGATTCCTTGAACAAGTGCCTACTCATTAGTTGCTGTTCCTTATTTTTTGTTTCTATTCTTCTAATCATTCCAACACTAAAAACTCAAAGCAATACATATTGAAGTCTTTAGATTTGATTGTTAGTAAGAAGATCGGTGACAGACTGGCAAAACAAAATCTAAGTAGACACTCAGAAACATACACAAATGGTTCCAAAGAAAAACTAAACGGTTAAGCCCAATAACTGTTTTCCAATGTACGTAAAGGTGGGGATGGAGGGGGCACTGAAAAAAGAGAGGAGGAAGGGCCAACTGGAATAAACAACTTTACCTCTTCAAACTCCCACTTTAAAAAAAAATTCTAAAGGATTCTGAAAATATAAAGCAGTTTCTCCAATTCTCGTATCAGATGAAAAACACTGCAAAGAAACTGCAAAGAAAAGCTGCCACACAGAGTTCAAATGGTAGAATAACTGAAATAGGAACTTGGATGTGATTTGAGCTGTCTTGACAGCATTTTTAGTACTTCCTTCTTCTAGAAACAGAATTTGGATATAAGAAATGACTTCTCTTCACGCAAAGATGTAAAAGAGATGCTGAAGTAATAAACTAAATGATCAGACAGGACAGACATTTGGAGCTGAATCTAGTATTCTCAGTAGGCCCATTGATCATTTTGGGTTCAATCCCAGTATCTGGAATCAATGGCATTTTACAAAATATTCTTAGTTTTATCTTTCATTTCTTAGTCATTCATGACTTGATTCTAAATAAAATCCATCTGCCATTGTCTGCTATGCAAGTTTTTAAGTAAATGTGGGTATTTTACAACATTCACAGGAAGGTGAATATTTGGATGCCATCTTATTAATAAGAATACTGAATATCAGACCTTAAATTACTATAAAAATTACTTGTCTAATAGCTCATCATCACACAAAATGGAATAACTGCTTCTGAAATCACTAAAAGATCCTGTAAAGCTACATAAGCTTTTGCCAAAAAGAAACTATACATGTCAAAAAAACAAAGACTTTCCAGAACATTAAATGCAGTACCAATTCAAATTTATCTGTCTTCTGACTCTCCAAAGAGAAAGTTTTTAGAAAAGTTTCACCTCAATCAAGTTTTAAAAAAAAGCCTACCTTTACAATTCACCCAAAATCTGACCACTTCTCACCACCTCCACTACTAACACCTTGCTCTAAGCAACCATCACCTGCTACCTGGATTGTTGCAGAGGCCTCACTATTTTCATACTTGTTTTGCTCTGCCCCCGACCCAGTATATTCTCACCAGCCACTGACATCCTTTTAAAGCACATCAGATTATGACATTCCTCTTCTCAAAAACTGCAAAACCTTTCATGAGCACTCTAGTGTAAAAACTGGAGTTTTCACAAGATTCTACAAATTCTCCCAAGTGATCTGATCCTTGATGCCCCTCACCTTTATCTCTTATTCCTGTTGCCCCCTTGCTAATTTTACTCCAGCCTCTTTTAAAACTCAAACATGCCATGGGGGCTTCTGCCTCAGGGCCTTCATCCTAACTCCTCTCTATCAGGCTCTCCCAAAGGCCGATTTCGCTCATCTGCTCCAGTGTCTGTGCTTGACAACACCTACTTAAAACTGCACCCCAACACACTGCACTCCCCTATCCAGTACTCCCAATCCCTCATTCTGTTTTCACATTTTTTCTTTTTCCACCTTATACCATACCGAATACTTTATAATTTACATATTATATAGTTTATTTCTGTCTTCCCTAAATAAACTATAAGCTTCATAAGAATAGGAATCGGCCAGGCTCCGGAAGTAAGCTGTGAGGGGTGGGCGCGCAGCTGGAACCCGAGCTGGAGCCGGAGGTGGAGCGGGCTGGGCGGCCGGGCGGCCTGGAGCCGGACGTGTCCGAAGCGTCCCCGAAGACCGGGGCAGCAGGTCATCCGGGGGCCCGCCATGCTGGTGACTGCCTACTTTGTCTTTGTGGTCCTCCTGACCTCCTGCCTGGGGTTGGAGCTGTCAAGATGCCGGGCTAAGCCCCCGGGAAGGGCCTGCAGCAACCACTCCTCCGTGAGGTTTCAACTGGACTTTTATCAGGTCTACTTCCTGGCCCTGACCGCCGACTGGCTTCAGGCCCCCTACCTCTATAAACTCTACCACCATTACCACTTCCTGGAGAGTCAGACTGCCATCCTCTATGACTGTGGCCTCGCCTCCACGGTCCTCTACGGACTGGTGGCCTCCTCCCTGGTGGATTGGCTGGGTCGAAAGAAGTCCTGTGTCCTCTTCTCCCTCACTTACTCCCTGTGCTGCCTAACCAAACTCTCTCGGGACTACTTTGTGTTGCTGGTAGGCCGGGCACTTGGTGGGCTGTCCACCACCCTGCTCTTCTCTGCCTTCGAGGCCTGGTACATCCATGAGCACTTGGAGCGGCATGACTGCCCTGCCGAGTGGATCCCAGCCACCTTTGCCCGTGCTGCCTTCTGGAACCATGTGCTGGCTATAGTGGCAGGTGTGGCCGCTGAGGCTGTGGCCTGCTGGACGGGACTAGGCAGGGGTGGGCAAACTTTTTGACTCGAGGGCCACAATGGGTTCTTAAACTGGACTGGAGGGCCAGAACAAAGCATGGATGGAGTGTTTGTGTGAACTAATATAAATTCAAAGTAAACATCATTACATAAAAAGGTACGGTCTTTTTTTTTTTTTAGTTTTTTTCATTTCAAACGGCCGGATCTGGCCCGCGGGCCGTAGTTTGCCCACGGCTGCCCTAGATTGTTACTTCTTTATCCATTGCACGAATCTCGTGCACCGGGCCTCTAGTCATTACATAAAAGGGTATGGTCTTTTTTTTTTTTTTTTAGTTTTCTTCATTTCAAACGGGCCGGATCCGGCCCGTGGGCCGTAGTTTGCCCCCGGCTGGACTAGGGCCTGTCGCGCCCTTTGTAGCCGCCATCCCTCTTGGCTCTGGCGGGAGCCTTGGCCCTTCACACCTGGGGAGAGAACTATGATCAGCAGTGTGCCTTCTCAAGGACCTGTGCTGGGGGCCTGTGCTGCCGCCTGTCGGACCGCCATGTGCTGCTGCTAGGTACCACACAAGCCCTGTTTGAGAGTGTCATCTTCATCTTTGTCTTCCTCTGGACACCTGTGCTGGACCCACATGGAGCCCCACTGGGCATGATCTTCTCCAGCTTCATGGCAGTCAGCCTGCTCAGCTCTTCCTTGTATCGCATCGCTACCTCGAAGAGGTACCACCTTCAGCCTATGCATCTGCTCTCCCTTGCTGTCCTCATCGTTGTCTTCTCCTTCTTCATGCTGACTTTCTCCACCAGTCCAGGCCAGGAGAGTCCAGTGGAGTCCTTCATAGACTTCCTACTTACTGAACTGGCCTGTGGCCTATACTTTCCCAGCATGAGCTTCCTGCGGAGGAAGGTGATCCCTGAGACAGAGCAAGCTGGTGTACTCAACTGGTTCCGGGTGCCCCTGCACTTGCTGGCCTGCCTGGGGCTCCTAGTCCTTCATGATAGTGATCGCAAAACAGGCACTCAGAACATGTTCAGCATCTGCTCTGCTGTCATGGTGATGGCTCTGCTGGCAGTGGTGGGGCTCTTCACCGTGGTAAGGCACGATGCTGAGTTGCAGGTGTCCTCGCCCAATGGGGAGCCCTATGCCCCTGAGCTCTAACTCTGTTTCAAGACAGGGGGGCTGGGACAGACTCTTGACTTCCACCTCTCCAGGGTTGTACAGATCTCTCGTTAACTGACTTTGGGACTATCTGGCCCCTCAGCCTGTCCTTGGGGGCCCTCCTGCCAGTGCTTTGGGTTGGGGAGTACATGGGGGTGATATCCTGGAAAGAAGATGCCAAAAGTTGCCTCTGTGTTACTCCCTTTCCCTTTTCAATTTAAAAATAAACACTTTTCACTGAAAACATGGGAATCTTTGTGTTTTCTTTGATAATGCCAAGCATTGAGAATAGTACCTAAAGCACAGTAAGCACTAAATAAACATTGATGAGATATTAAAAATAAATTATGGTGTCAAAATTCCCTGAAGGACAACATTTTTCTCCTGTTATACCCACCTTAACTTACATTAAGACAAGTCTAAAGTGAATTAAAACAAAAAGCAATAGCACTCTAGGGAGACCAGCCCTGAGGTGGAATGATTAACACCTTCAGGAAGCTGAGCTGTAGGTGCTACTGCAAGCCTAACACAGCCAAAGGTCCCAAGAAGGGCTATCTGGGCAAACAGTGATGAG